TAATATGTCTGAATTTGTTGAATTTTGGTATTTTCAAATATGTCCTTCGTAATTATGCTTGAATATTGCGTCATGCCATATGCAAAAAAAGCTACTAAAAGCTGTAATATAAATATAATGATATATTTTGAAATCCTATTTATAACTCCAAAGCACATTTTAAACGTATACTTACTGGTAGAGTTTTATTAGGACCGCTTATTTTTAGTGTAAAACCATTGTTATTGACAATGATATTATATTTAAACCCAATCTGTATAGCTGGATATAATTCTTCGGCTAAAAGCTGTTCCAATAATCTGCAGTACATATCCATGAGAACTCGACTGAAATGTCATTAATGTTCACATCTTTTTCAATAAGATATAAATAATTATATAAAAATCATAATATTGGTAATTGTAAAAATTGGAATACATATAATGTCAAGTACAGTAACTACTATAATATATTATTATTACATTTTCTATGCTACTTACTTCTTTAACGGCTGAAGTTTTAGAGGTGAAATAAAATAGAAATGCATACAACATTTCGGCAAACAATGTTTAAAATCTGGGCGATACCAAATCTCCGACAGAGAATTACTGTATAATTTCACGGGATATTTCTCAATTTTTTCGTTTGGTGTCTTTAGAGCTCTTAGATAAAGTTTGGTAAGGAATATATTCGGCAATAAATAAAACTCTAGTAATGGCTCGATGACTTTCCAACGTTCGATCCACTCTTTCGGTATCTCAATATCCGTAAATGCCGTTTGCTGCCATGGTTCAACTTTCTTTAATTCGAAACAATTAAAATCCCTTGAGAAAATCATAATATTTGTCCTCTCAGGTGTTAAATAATTCAAACATTTTTGTATAACTTTTGCATTATAATCCAAATCAAGCTCGAATCCAATTATATAAATCTTCGGCGGATAGAAATGCATACTCTTAGAGAATAATTTTACCTCAGAGATATCTTTTTTGTCGTAATTAGTATATCTAAAAAGACCTTCAATTGTAAGTGGCGTTCTACAAATATGTTGTTGGCTTTTCTCTTCAATCATCTTAAATACATATATATATTTCTAAAATTACTTTACCTAAAAATATGTTGTTTAATCTTAAAAATGTTATTGTAAATTTCTTCCCGCGGACCTTCTGTCTTTAATAAATTGATAAAAGAAAATATTGCATCTAAAACATCTTCCAGATGTTTTTGTCCTTTAGAAGTGAGTGGTATGATGAGCTGTAGTAAGCTGTATATAGAATTTTGTTGAATCTCACAATAAAACATATTATTGTCTGATATAGGACTCCACATTTTTTGTCGTAGATAACTAATTAAGGAACCTTTTCCTTTATATCCAATAATCCACGGGATATATTGATATGAATTACATTTATAAAAATCGGAGAATGAAGGTAAGGCCCACGTTATTTGTAACTGCAAAAGAAAACGTTTATTTATATATATTTCCATATATAAATCTAGATTCTTTTATATCTGCTCAAATTTTAGTCACTTACTCGTGTCAAATGTTCCGTATTATCATTAACTTTATACATTTTTCGGAAAGCGGAAATATCAAAAGGAAGATTCTTTTTAAATTTGGAAAAATTATCTGGAGGCATTCTGTTATTTGGTACATGGACAAAGCACGCTTTGACAAATTTTTCCATTGTATCCAACGACAGTCCCGACTATAAATATGTATCATGTTAAATTTATTTGATAAATAAAAAAACCATGAACCTATAAGTAATAAATAATTTTCTCGTCACAATTTTAACGAAGTTACCCGTATTGCTAGCTTCATTCTGTGAGCGCTGTAGTGGCGCTTTTTAAATCTGTCCATCATATCGTACAATTTGTCATAATCTGTATTATTTATTATTTCTGTTAAATTGTCTTCAGAACACATGTTGACTGGATGACCAGTTTGTGCGGAGAAGTAAAGTATTTGTTCGTATCTTATCCTGCTTTTAAATTCTACCTGAAATTCTATAATAACTGTATATAAGTACGGCATGTCAAGACTACAAATTGTGACAACAATGTTAAGATTACAATTTATATACCGGTTTTTAAGGCATTTAAGTTCTCCATAAATATATATTTTGGCATTATAGGATTAATAAAAAAAAGACCAAACTTATGGAGAGCTAAAAACAAATTGTTTTCTTTGATATCAAAGTAAAATATTGTATGCTCGTTTTCCACTGTGACATGAGTTGTGCCATCATGGTCATGAATAAAATTTTTGAAAGTAATACATTCCTACAATAAGATACTTAAATACTTAAATATAAATAATTTTTACGGTAAATTTATGCGTCATGTTTTACTACCTCTGAACGTATTTCGGGTTTTTGAAAATACATATATTCCATGGTTAAGAAATATGTTATGTTCAGAATTTCTGGTGGATTGCTGAATTCTCCTACATCCAGGCATAAGCTACATGCTGCCTGTTTAAAAAAAAAATAGAATTTATACATCACGCGCATTACATGTAGTATTAAGTACAAAGTTGAATATAATCAACTGAATGACTAAACAGTTTGAAATTGTATCACACATTGAAATGAATTTATTAAAACTTTTCTGCAGTGCAGGAAATGAAATTTTTTAAATCAAAACTTCTAATAATATAGTGCTTAAATTTTATGAAAATAGATATTTCTTATGATTTTAAAGATTATTGTTAATATTAATTTTAAATATAAATTTTGATTCATATGTTAACTAAAAAAATTAGTAAATTTTAAAATGCAAATTAAATTGTCTTTTTTTACCTTATTTTCTTGAGAAGAAGATGTTGTTAAATGTTCACAGGATATTAGCAAAGCTTCTAAACCGTTTGGCAATCTGATGGTCCTAAATTTGAAAGACAAAATAAACAATAATAAATGAGAAGTTAGCAAGAATATTGTATACTTTGTCGATCATTTTTAAAATCTAAATTTCATTGTAAGATTTCTTTCAAAAGATTATTATCTTATTATGTCTCACATCTATTGCGATAGAAATCGTGCTTACTGCTGAGTATTTGCTCGCGTTTTACCTATATTCTCTCTTGTCAGTCTCCGATTTATATATTTGTGGATGCAAATGTTCAGCTTGGCTCTTTGCACTATCCCAATCCTTCACAACTGGCATTATGTCAACGTGCAGAAAATTGGAATCGAAATTATGTCGATTTGTGAAATACGATTTGATTCGGAAAAGCTCAATGGTTTTCAGTTCTTTTCAACTTTCTTTTCAATAGACCTGACACTATTTGAGTCAACATTAACTGAAAGATTTTTCTCTTTTGCACATATTCTCGAATAAAGGTCAATACGGTTAATGTCTAAATATATACATAAATGTTTTAAATGTTTATTTATTTGTATTGTTTACATAGTGATCTAGAGGGCTGGTATTCATAGTCCGCTTGAATTTAAAACGTAAATCTTAAATTGTTATTTAACTCTTAAAACATTATAAAACAGTCTTGTTACATTTTAAAATATTGCTAATTATTAGCATTATAGCATTATTAGCATTTTAAGATATTGCTAATTAAAATAAGAATTATTAATTGAATTAAGAAATTGGCTATGAATATCGGTTTATTTTATTATCTGATCTATTATATGGAATTTCTTTTTGCAATAAGCCAATACCTAAACTTTGACCAAACATAATCGATTATTTTTCTCATATTTAACTGTAATTGATCAGTTCTTTAGATTAAAACTTAAAATTTAGGTAATATGGCTTATTGTAAAAAATCTATAAAAGAGATTCTATATGTGTTCGACCCGCACCTTGAGTAAAT